ACACCAGCAGTAGCCGGCAAAGTAGCATTGGCCGTATCAAGATACGCCTGCACAGCTTCCTTGGGAGAAAGGGCAGTGGAGGGGTCGGCGATGATGGAGTCGACCCATTCGGCGAAAGAGAACGTGGTTGTGACTTCCGCCGCTTCGCCAGCGACAGGTGCTGCGCTGACTTGGGAGGTAAGAACTCCCAAAGCCACAAGCGGGAGGGTGGAGAGGCGGGAAAAGTTGACCATTTTGGGAAGAGCGAGGGGAACTTGGAGGAGAAGGTCGGAAAGGTGAGTTGTGATGGCACTGTTCAGTTTGGAGGCGACCGTACCTCTCATCTTTATACCTCTTCCATGACTACACTCTCGTCCCGTCTTGACCCAGCCAACATGTCTCTAATGAGTCCGAGCTAACCTTTCTAAGAGGTAGAATCACCCTCATGCCGTATTCATTGCGCCCTTGATGCCCCCGTTTGTTTGGCCCGGGTTGAAACATGGTCCAGCACCAACAATGTCGTTGTCTGCTACCAGTCTGTCACATCACGCGAGCTAAAATGCGTGCATCTGGATATGAAGCTCAAGTTGCCGTCCAGAACTGTGCTGGCCGCCAACTTCAATAGAGGACTGACCCCTCGGACCGGTCCTTTAATCCGTCTGTTGGTGGGAGTTGGCGTGATAGATGTTGCTTTTGCTGATATTGTTTGCACACCATCCATGAACTCGTCAAAGTCTTGATCGTTTCGGACCAATTAAACGATGAAGATACCAATGCCCCCTGTTTACTTCCCCTGAACTTTGCCAGGCCTAATGAACATGCACCCCGGATCAACGTGGTATTGTGGGATTCAACGGGCTGCATAGGACTAACAAACAATTGAATGCAACCATGGACCACAGGAGTGGTGCAATCTCGTTAGGAGGCCTATACTCCTGACCAACGCACATGAGACAGTGGCTCTACTAGCCCGCACTTTGCTATCGTCAAGTGATGATGCATAAAAGTCGTCGCTAATCATGAGCCCAAACACAGCCAGAGCATTGCCCAAACCGCGGGTACATTATGGAAACTTGCACCCAACCGAACGGGATGGTGACGGGTAATAGGGCTTCTGACTTGGCAGGTACCAAAGTCGATATGTCAATTTCCCGCTACTCAGGAACGCTTGCCTGAGTGGCGAAGAAGAAGATGGATTCGCGACTTTGTCAGGATATGCTGCCTATTCCCACGTGGTCACGGTTTCGTACCTCTAGTCAATCAATCCATCATTCCATCAGTAGCGCCGTCGCGTTTCACAAACTTCTCAACGGCCACTCGGTTTGTTTCCGAACTCGGCCCCGACATAACAAGGAACGCAAGGCAAACACACACTATAAGTTGTTGTTGTGTCCGTTTGGTTTACGTAAAATGGAGGTTGCTGATGCCTTTGATGCCTTGCAATAGTAGTTATGTTGGATTATTTGGCTCGCCTTGCTTGCCAATGCGTGGTTGTGGGGGCGGCAAGTTATGATCTTCCCATAGGTTCTCGAGGTTGAAGCAGCGAACCAGCCCCAGCAAACTTCCCTCTCTCACCAATACAACCTTGTTCGAAATTTTTAATCAAGCAGCGCAGACTCAACCCCAATAGCAGCCTTATGTCTTCAAGTGCACGATTCAATCATAGATCCTGAGCGCCAGCGTGAGGTAGGTAGCGGGAGGCTACAACACGCTTCCGTCAAAGACTAGACCTTTGGCAGGTACTGTGGACATGTACACTCAATGATATTCAATCAATATTGATATTAAACAGCTAAAAGCCATTACATTCTCCATTTAGAGTTGACAAAGACTCTTAAGCGCCCCTTATCCAAACTCAACTGGTGGTAATGTTCGTTATGGCGACTATGACTTGGGAGGGGGGTACATCCTTGTGGGTTCCCCGTGTATGGCTCGTGCGCATTCTCCCCAACGCTGCGAGCATCATCCCTCTCGTCCTGTTTGTGGTGGTTGGCTTGGAGAGGGTACAACGGAACGGTGGCTTCTGGGCCTGTATGGTAATTTATTCCAGCGATTCTTCTCCTTAACACCACCTTTCTTTAGAAACCCAGTCAACCATGATGGATTTCCACACCCCTTACTAGTAACTGTTCCATCAACCTGTTCGTTCTTGACCACTCACTCCCTTCAGCCCACATTATCATTGCCATGTGGATATGCCAAAGGTCGCGCAGAAAAAGGTATGCGAACAAGAGAAGAAGAAGCGGATGGAAAGGCACAAACTGCAGCAGAAACTAAACCACATCAATTCCAGCTCAAAGCCGACGACCCGCCAACCTAGCCACGAAGGTCCTTGCGAACAAGTCGATATTCTCGGGAGCAAGCAGAGTATAATGATGGCCCTGCACCTCGTGGAATCGGGCATCGTCCACGAAGTCGGCCCAGCCGGACAGCTTCTTCTCCAACCATTCGGCTTTCGAGGGAGCTACATCGGCAATGGGATCGCCATAGAATACCTCCAACACAGGGACCCGGCCTGATGGCTCATAGTCGCGCGCAATGACATGCGAATTCAGAGCCAGACTGGTCCACCATGGGGCGATTGGGATAGTTGGTAGGCAGGCCACTATGAGTTTCTTCGATTCAATGATTGATTGGCAAAAATAATAAAGATAGGTGGCGTGCTGACCAACGTAAATACCTACAGCAAGAACATTGCCCAGCATGCAGGTATCATCATAGTCGAAGGCAGAAAAGAGCAATGGATGAGGGCTCTGCCGAGGAAAGAACGATGGTTAAGTGAGGAATGAGCTGAGTGTTGTGTCTGTCACGTCCTTTGCTTGTTCCACCTCCATCTCCTGAACTATTCCCCCTCGGCTTCTTCCTTTTAACAACCCAATCTCTCGACCGACATCTTGTCCGCGCTCCACAACATCATCTCCCGTCCCAGTCTGCCTTTCTGTTTGATGTCTTCCCTTGACGTTCACTTGCATGTGCCATCAGCAGCCAACCGATTCCGGGAGAAGAAAAACGCCTCGCAACGCTAGCCCGGGCCGCTGATTCGGCGACCATCGTCCACTAAAATTGCTTTGGACAGCTTGGAGGTCAGCACCGGGCCGCTATCTGGGGGCTGAATATAGTGGGGTAATGCTGTCACATAGCGGTTGGACGCACCGGCTACCATGACGTACAGGACCCTCGCGTTTTGATGGCGCCCGACCGGCCCTTCCCCTGCGTCTGCCTCCGAGTCTGCCTCCAGACACTTGTCAACTTCCGGACAGACTGGGCCTTTTGCATTCGGCATGGCGGCCAGATTGATGGCCATCGATTGAAACTGCACCCAAACCTCAGCAACTCGAGATGCTCCTGTTGGTACCGTCGCCCTATCGTGCTCCCGCTATGCGTCCCCAATGACCGCGATCACGAATCACGCGTGGCCACGGTGCACATGTCTCCATGCGAGAGGCCAACCGCCAGCACATCAACCCTTGTTGATACCTCGAAAATCCTCAGCCAACGCTCGTTTGCAGTCTACACAACCTGATTCGATGGCTGTCACATCCTCGCGGGAAAGTCTGCCCTTCCATCGGGTGTCTTGGCCGTAATGCATCATCGTCCTGTAAGCTCCCGATACGGGGGCTCGGGGGGCTCGAGGCGCCGTGATCACGACTTCGATACCACTCGACCATTTACAGAGACCTGGGCCTCCTGCTTGGTCTTGGACTTGAATGTTGGGTGGGCTTAGTTATCCCGCAAGGCCAATTGCAGTTCTCAGTGCTGATAACTCCTAGCTTTGTATCCTCACTGAAGATAAACTAAGCATGCTGAAAGTCCCTTAAATCCCTCTGCAATCCTCGTCATATCTGTATTTCACCTTCTCCAGAGCCCCTCAACATTTGCAGTTCACTCACACACATCAGAAAGAACATACACAACATCCTTCACCAGACCAAGTCCAATAGCTTCACCACGCCGCCAAAGCCGTCCATCTTCCAAACTGTTCCGCTCTAACGACATCCGCACCGGCACAACATGGCGTCAAACATACGACAAACACGCCTCAAGGCTGTTTTCAAAGCCATAGTCTTTGGCGAGCGCCAGGTCAACAACTCTCATGACGCACAGCTCTTCCTTGAAGCTGTACGGTCTCAAGAGCTTCCAAGCGCATGCGTCGAGATGATCGTCTCCCATCCGCCTGGCCTAGATGCAGTTCGAAACTCTGTCCGGAGCAACCTATCCGAAACCTTCATCGTGTCACACACACTCCCATTCTTGGAGTATCTGTCTGACCCCGGCATCAAATCTTTGGCTGATGGCGAACTGCTTGCCCAGCTGCTTGTCGTTATTGCCAACCCACCTACTCTTTGGAAAGCCCTCGTGAACCTCTTCAACGGCCATCAGCTGCCCCCCGATAGGGTCCACCCATTTGCATGGCTTGCCCTAGAGCTCCTCTCGCTCCCTCAAAAGGCCGAAGTCGACGTGCTGGAAGAGGTACAGGCCATCATCCAAGACAAAAGCCTCCTGAAATCGGAAGATCATGCTGCTCGTGAGCTTGGATATCGCATCGAAAAGGTCCTGCAACTCCGCTCCTCATCCAAGCCTTCTATGCAACCCAATGGTCCGGGTGGACGTCATGACAATGATTCGGATACCTTTAGGAAGATTGCCATCTATCCTACTACCGACGAGTTCCTGTCGACCCAACAGCCCTTCTATCGGACAGCATTTGAGGTCACCGAGAGTCCCGTGGAAAAACGTCCGGCTATCCACTTGGACAACCAGTTCCGTTTGTTGAGGGAGGACATGCTGGCCGAACTACGGGAGGACCTCCAAGTTGCCATGGACGTCAAGAAGGCAAAACAATCACTACTAACCATTGGCAAGCTGCAACCGGTGGCCCTGTCACTCACTGAGATAAACCTATCTGGTAAAGGACCGCGATATAAGCCGTGCACCCTCCTGCTCCGCTGTTACCACGGCTTAGGGTTTCTAAACAAAATGACGCCCGAAAAATTGAACAAGTACCTAAAGGACAATCCAAGATTCCTAAAGCATCAGTCATTCGGTGCCTTGACGCGAGGGAAAGAAGTCATCGCCTTTGCCTTCATTGATCGAGACAGAAACAATGAGCTACTCCGTCAGACGCCCCCCGCCGTATGCCTTCAATTTACCGACCCCAGCAGCTTCAAGAGAGCATTGCTCGCCCTCAAACTACCCAACGCTCAAGATGTTGTCCAGTTCAAGTTGGTTGACACACCCGTATTTGCCTACGAGCCTGTCTTAGCTGGCCTGCAAGCGATCGCAGAGCTTCCATTGCAAGACCTTCTCATCAATCCATCAGGGACCAGCTCGGCATTTGTCGGGTTACCGCAACTGCAGCCTCTTGTATCGGCACTCCAGTCAGCACGATCAAAAATGGTCACAGAGAAGGCCGAAGCTGTGTGCATAGGGAAATCCATAACTGTCGACCTGGCCCAGCTTGACTCGATACTCCATGCCTTGACGAAGCCGATAACCCTCATTCAGGGTCCCCCAGGTAAGTTTCAGTCAATCACAGAGCTAGCTTAGGACAAAACATGTGCTAATGCTTTACACAGGCACGGGAAAGTCATTCATTGGTGCACAGATTGCCAGATACTTGCACAAAGCTGGGCAACGCATTCTCGTCCTCAGCTACACAAACCACGCCCTTGACCAGTTCCTAGAAGACCTATTGAACGTCGGCATCCCGCAGCATGATCTCGTTCGCTTGGGCGCCAAGGCAAAGTCCACGCTTAGAACGGTTCCACTCCTGCTTTCCGAACAAAAAGGTGGCTATCGTCGTACAAGTGATGCTTGGACGATGATCGATCTCCTGAGGCAGAAAGCCGCGTCATCCGCCCAGGAGCTTCAAAAGGCTTTTAGAACATATGGGAAGGCTCACACTGGTTGGGCTGAGGTCTCCGAATTCCTTGAATTCCTAGACCATCCACTCCCCTTTTATAAAGCTCTTCTTGTTCCCACTGACAGCAATGGCTGGAAGCATACAGGGAAGAAGGGGAAGCAGGCGGGACCGGACTATCTCTTCCAGCGGTGGGTCAAGGGCGAAGACGCCGGCATTTTCAAAAAGCAGATTTCGGAGAACTCACACGCTGTTTGGAAAATGCCCCGCCCTGAGCGACAAAGCCATCTGGACAGGTGGGCCGAAGAACTGAATGAGGAGCGCCTGGAGACTATTGAGGAACTTGCCCGCCAATATAATGAGGTCCAGAGTAAGCTCGACGCCCAGTTCAGTGATGCGGATGCAAATACCATGCGTCAAAAGAAAGTGATTGGCTGCACCACCACAGGTGCGGCCAAGTATTCGAGTCTCATCCGGGCCGCAGCACCTGATGTGATTCTCGTCGAGGAAGCAGGCGAGATCTTGGAGAGTCATGTACTCACCGCCCTGGCCCCATCGGTGAAGCAGTTGATTCTGATTGGCGACCACAAGCAGCTCAGACCAAAGATCAACAACTACTCTCTCTCTGTGGAAAAGGGTGACGGGTATGATCTGAACCGGTCCCTATTTGAACGCCTCATTATGCAGGGTGCACCTCACACGACGTTGCAGAAACAACACCGCATGGTCCCAGAGATATCCATCATACCGCGCGTGTTAACCTACCCGGATCTACTTGATGGCCCCAAGACGAGTGACAGACCGCGGATCCGCGGGCTTCAAGATCACGTTGTGTTCATCAACCACGGGAAGCTGGAAGATACGGACAAGGTCCTCCGAGAACGCCATGAACCCGGCGTGAAAGAGAGCAAGAAAAATACGTTTGAAGCCACAATGGTGCTAGAATGCATCAAGTTCTTCGGCCAGCAAGGCTACTCGGCTGACAAACTTGTCATCCTCACGCCATATCTAGGGCAGTTACGAGTTATTCAAGATTTGTTACGCGAGAACCAGCATGATCCGGCCCTGAGTGAAATGGACAAGTTAGAACTTTTGAGGGCTGGTCTTTTGAGTAAGGCGGCTGCCAAGGTTGATGAGAAGCCCCTTCGTGTCTCCACAATTGGTGAGTGGCTTCTTTTTCTACGTGATGTTGGAATCACGGCATCCCGAGACGTCAAACATTCTCTTTGCTCTCATCATGCCCCATACACAGGCTCTCAGATACTAACGACCCAGTAGACAACTACCAGGGCGAAGAAAACGACATTGTTATTGCTTCGCTTACACGCAGCAATGAATCAGGTGATATCGGTTTCATGTCAGCACCGGAGCGTCTGAATGTCCTTGTTACCAGAGCAAGGAATTGCCTGGTATTGATCGGCAACATGGGCACCTTCATGAGCAGCAAGAAGGGTGGGCCGACCTGGCGCCCGTTCTTTGAGCTGATGAAGAGTCATAATCACCTATACGATGGTCTTCCCGTCAGATGTGAAAAGCATCCCGAGAAGACTGCTCTCTTGAAGGAACCCATTGATTTCATGAAGTTCTGTCCTGATGGAGGGTGTACGGAGCCATGGTACGTGTTGCTCTCGGGTGTGTTGATTGCGTTGACCTGCTAACTGCATTACTAGTGACGTATTACTTAAATGCGGAATGCACAAGTGCAAATCCCGTTGCCATCGTGTTATTGACCACAGCCAAGCTCCATGCCACGAGATCCTCGTCAAGACGTGTGAAAGGAATCACAAGCTCAAGGTCAGCTGTGACAGACAGAACGACAACTGCCGTGACTGTATCAGAGAGGACAAAGAGCAGGAGCGACGAATAAAGAGAGACCTCCAGCTTGAAGAAGATCGCGTGCGCAAAGAGGAAGCCTACGTCAAGGAACTTCAAGAGATGGATGACGAGCTCGATCATCAGCGCCGGCGCAACAAGTATCTGTCAGACGAGCAGATCAGAGAGCAGACACTTGAACAGCGCCGCCAGGAGCTTGCAGGCTCTCAAGGATGCCGAGATACGTGCACAGGAACAAGTAAAGCAACGGGACGAGATTACCCGCCGGGTTGCTGAGAAGGCCAAGCGTCGCGCGCGAGCAAACGACCAGTGTGGAAAGAGAGGCGGACTCACAGAATCCGCTTGGCGACCTTCCTGATACCGCTGAGGGCGAGTGGAGCTATCTGAAGGAATTTGACGGGGCATCCAGTAAACCAATGGACGCGCTCATGTCTATGATAGGACTGGAAGAGGTGAAGCAGAAGTTCCTCGACATCAAATCCAAGGTCGACACTGCGGTTCGTCAGGGCATCTCTCTTAGTAAGGAGCGCTACAGTTGCTCTATGCTAGGAAATCCCGGCACAGGTAAGTCATCCACTGCTTCTCATCTGGTTTTCTAAGCGACCTAATACGTTCTCCAGGGAAAACGACTGTCGCGCGACTCTACGCCGAGTTCTTGTCTGACGTGGGGGTAATTCCTGGACAATGTTTCAAAGAAACCACGGGCGCAGGGTTGGCGAATCTAAGCGTGAACGGCTGCAAGAAGGTGATTGAGGAGATTCTCAACGAAGGCGGAGGAGTACTCTTCATCGATGAGGCGTATCAGCTCACGTCTGGCAACAATCCTGGCGGCGGAAGCGTCTTGGACTACCTCCTAGCCGAAATCGAAAACCTAAGGGGCAAGGTTGTCTTCGTGCTTGCCGGTTACAATAAGCAGATGGAGAGCTTCTACGCACACAACCCCGGCCTTCCCAGTCGGTTTCCGGTTGAAATGAAGTTCGAAGACTATACAGACGACGAACTGCTCCGAATCTTCGAACTTAAGGTCAACAGCAAGTACAATGACGCCATGGATTGCGAGGATGGCCTGCAAGGGCTCTATTGTCGCATAATCTCCAGGAGAATCGGCTATGGCCGCGGCAAAGAAGGCTTCGGAAATGCGCGCACGGTCGAGAACACATTGGACATTATCTCCACTCGACAGGCGAACCGGATAAGGCGGGAACGCAAAGCCAAAAAACCGGACATCGACGACCTGTTCTTCACCAAGGAGGACCTTATAGGTCCTGAACCCGCCGAAGCTCTCCAGAAGTGCGAGGCCTGGAAGAAACTACAGCAATTGATTGGACTTTCGTCTGTTAAGGAGGCAGTCAGATCGCTTGTCGACAGTATCCAATCGAACTACAGGAGGGAGTTGGCGGAGCAGCCTCTAATCCAGTACTCGCTCAACAAGGTCTTCCTTGGAAATCCGGGCACGGGTAAGACAACGGTAGCGAAGCTGTACGGAGAAATTCTGGTGGCACTTGGAATGCTCTCTAAGGGCGAAGGTAAGATAACTCTCAGGCTCTTGATTCGTCGCTGTGACTTGTGCTAAACTCTATGCTTTAGTGGTCATCAAGAACCCGTCTGACTTTGTTGGTGCTGTTCTTGGGGGTCTGAACAACAGACGAAAGGCATTCTGGCCGCAAGTTTGGGTAAGGTCCTGGTTATTGATGAAGCATACGGTCTCTACGGCGGAGGAGGTACACCAGGATCAACTTCGGACCCTTTCAAGACGGCCGTCATAGACACGATTGTTGCGGAAGTTCAAAGCGTACCTGGCGACGACCGATGCGTTCTACTCCTCGGATACAAGGAACAGATGGAGACCATGTTCCAGAACGTCAACCCAGGACTTGCCCGCCGGTTCCCTATTGCTTCAGGGTTCTACTTCGAAGACTTCTCCGATGATGAGATCCAAAAGATCTTTGATCTCAAGATCAAGCAACAGGGGTATCAGGCAACTGCCGGAGCGACCGTCGTTGCAATGGAGATGCTGAACCGAGCCCGCAACCGGCCGAACTTTGGCAATGCTGGCGAAATTGATATTCTGCTCAATGACGCAAAGGGCCGTCATCAGCAGCGTCTTGCCAAAGGGAAAGCCCGGTCCCAGACGCTCTTTGAGCCACAGGACTTCGATGAAGATTATGACAGGGCCACAAAGTCCGACACCAACGTGCGGAGGCTTTTCGAAGGTTCAGTTGGGTCCGAAGAGGTCATCACTCTGCTGGAAGGCTACCAGGAAACCGTGCGGACTTTCAAATCCATTGGCATGGATCCGAAGGAAAACATTCCGTTCACCTTCCTTTTCAGAGGGCCTCCGGGTACCGGCAAGACCACCACAGCTAGGAAGATGGGTCAAGTGTTCTATGATATGGGCTTCTTGTCTGCTCCTGAGGTGGTGGAGTGTTCTGCAAGTGAGATGATTGGCAAGTATGTCGGGCATACCGGGCCTCTGGTCAGAGCTCAACTGGACAAGGCACTGGGAAGGGTACTCTTCATCGACGAGGCGTACAGACTGGCTGACGGGCATTTCGCCAAGGAGGCAATCGATGAACTTGTGGATTCGGTCACAAAGGAGCGATACCACAAGAAGTTGATCATCATTCTTGCCGGCTACGAGACCGATATCAACCGTCTGATGTCTGTCAACAGCGGTCTAACATCTCGTTTCCCGGAGGTAGTCAACTTCCGAGCCCTGTCACCAGAAGGGTGCTTCGAGCTGCTGCGCAAAAGGCTTGAGGAAAACCACAACACACTCAAGGAAAGGAGTATAAAGCTGGATTTGTTCTGTCTCAGAGCACCCAGCTCCCGCTTTAGAAGAGTACTAGTGTCTTACTTCAAGCAGCTCTCCGCCCAAGACAACTGGGCCAGCGCACGGGACGTCCAAAGCTTGGCCAAGAACATGTTCAACCAGGTCATGCGAGATCACGAGGGATTAACCAAGGGACGCGTTACTCTGACCGAGGATATCGTCAAGCAAGAACTTGAAGCGATGCTTCTTGAGCGCGCCTCGCGGGGCAAAGCTGCAGCAGAGGCAGCGGCGCCAAACGGGTTCGCAGGCGGGATGCCGCAGTTCTTCCAAGCGCCGCCGCAACAGCAACCGCCTTCGTTCAACACTTCGACAGCAACAGCTACTTCCTTCGCGCAGGGGAAAGCTCGTGTTGTCGAGGAGGTCTTCTCAGATGAAGACGAGGATGAAGCAGATGAGCCAGCATCTCCGCTGTCCGAGCTCAACGAAAAGGCCATTGACACCTCGGACTCGAGATACGTGGGACAGAGAGACGCTGGAGTGAGCGATGCGGTTTGGGAACAGCTCCAACGGGATCGTCAGGCAGAGGAAGAAAAGGAAGAGGAGTACAGGAAACTGAAAGAGGCGGCGAAGAAGGCCACGGATGCGGCTAGGGACAAGATTGTCAAGAAGCTATTGGAGGAAGAGAGGAAGAGGAAGGCGGTGGAGGAGATGAAGAAGAAGTTGCATATGATGGGGATTTGTCCGGCTGGGTTTGCTTGGATTAGGCAGGATGGCGGGTATCGGTGTACAGCGGGCGGGCATTTTGTGGCGATGAGGCGTTGGAAGATGTGATAAAAGGGTCGCCTGGCCCTGAAGCGGGTTGGACACTCGATTCTTTGACGACATTTCAAAACATTTTTGCGCTATTTTATCGACTTGCTAAAGTTATCACATGCTTTCACCACGAATCTGCACTTTTTGAGTTACTCGACACTCGTTGGTTATTCTGTTTTCACTTCTCTTGAAGTTCACAAAACCACATGACGTCCCAATACTGCCATATCATCACTTGACGATGGTAAAGTGCGGACTAGCAGAACCACTGTCTTATGTGCACTGGTCAGGAGTAGAAGCTCCCAACGAGATTGCACCACTCTTCCGGTCCATGGTTGCACTCAATTGTTTGTTAGCCCTATGCACGCCGTTGAATCCCACGATACTACGTTAATCTGGGGTGCATGTTCGTTAAGGCCGGGAAGGTTCAGGGGAAGTAAACAGGGGGGCATGGGTACCTCCATCGTTTAATTGGTCCGAAACGGTCAAGACTTTAGCGAATTCGTGGATGGTCTGCAAACAATATCAGCAAAAGCAACTTCCATCACGTCAACTCCCACCGACAGACGGATTAAAGGACCGGTCCGAGGGGTCAGTGATTTATTGAAGTTGGCTGCCAACACAGTTATTATCGAAGATGTCGGGTTTATCTGCAGATGCAACGGCGAACTCGGTTCGCGTGATATGGTGGATTGGTGGGAGACAACGGCATTGTTGGTGTTTGGACCAATTTATACCCGGGCCAAACAAACGGGGGCATCAAGGGCGCGATGAATACGGCATGAGGGTGAGTGTTTCTACCTCTTGGAAAGGTTAGCTTGGACTCATTAGAGACATGTTGGCTGGGTCAAGACGGGACGAGAGTGTAGTCATGGAAGAGGTATAAAGATGAGAGGTACGGTCGCCTCCAAACTGAACAGTGCCATCACAACTCACCTTTCCGACCTTCTCCTCCAAGTTCCCCTCGCTCTTCCCAAAATGGTCAACTTTTCCCGCCTCTCCACCCTCCCGCTTGTGGCTTTGGGAGTTCTTACCTCCCAAGTCAGCGCAGCACCTGTCGCTGGCGAAGCGGCGGAAGTCACAACCCCGTTCTCTTTCGCCGAATGGGTCGACTCCATCATCGCCGACCCCTCCAC